TTTGTGCGTTCGCGTCTTCATAACCCCATTTCAGAATCTGCTGGAAAATCGACCCGCAGAATCGGTCTCCCAAACCGAACCCGAATCCGAGAAGAATGAACTTTATGAAAAAGTTCTAGCTCTCCGAAAGCTCTGTATGAGGTAACCCCAAGCTTTCTCTACCCCAAGAAAATATGCCGTTTTAAAATCTGCCGTTGCAGATTTTTGCCAACTGTACGCAAGCACTGCGTTGGTGAGCGGACGGCAAAGGAGTACGTGAAGCGTTGTGAAGGCTACTTCAGTGTCTGTTCTAATGAGCATGTTTAGCTTGAGAGCTACTATAAGGCAATAAATCTCAAGGTTAAAACTATTTTTGAGATTTGGGGTAAATTCTGTCAAGAGACTGGTTCTATAACATTTCGTTTCGGACATGAAACTCGAAACTGTTGGACGGTGCCTTTCGCATGAAGCGCTCATGCTAATAAAACGCATTACATATGAAATTGCAGGACTGCCAGAGTTTTCTGCCCCGATCTGATCCTCTCTACAGCATTGCCAACGCATTTACCTCAAATGTCGGTTTGAACCTCGGTAGCGTAGAGGTGAACGGTATACCGTATTATCCCATCAATCAAGAAGGTTTGTCTGTATGTGTAGGCGTACGTTCAGCTTTTGTTTCCATTAAACGTTTCGGTTTTTTGATAGCCGCTGTAAGTTTCATTTTTTATGATTTTGGTATCCTAGAGAACTTGAGAAGTAAAATACCACTCATTCAGGATCTATTGGTGTGGGACATGTTGTCAGCGTTCCGTTTGGCACATGGGGTGGTGGATGGGCGGACAATTTCGGCGTCAGGTGTGTCCATGACAATACTGCACCAAGTGATTTTGTTAATGAAAATGCAGTTTGAGTGGGAGGGCGGATTTGGTTGTGCTCTCCGTTTCTGACAATAAGGATATGGGCGTTGGCAACATCCCGTCACATCATTCCCCTGTCACACTTGTTGGAAGAGTCGGTGAATCTCCTAAATTTTCCCCAAATTTTTGCGCGTTTTACGCCTTGGGGCTCCTCCCATACTTTGGAATCTGGGGCTGTAACGTCTACCCCTGGCTCAGGATCGCTTCTTTCCATCATTTGTAGCCGAGCAGCAGAATCTAAACGGTAGTTATACACTTTGGGACCTAATGTGCGCCTACCCATTGTGAATAACACGAGATTCTGCTGACCACCAGCAGCACTATAAAAAAGCATAGGGTTATGCCTTCACCCCACCCTCTCGTGGTCTATAGAAGCCTTTCATTCTCACCCCATAAAAGAGCTCATAGGGGCCTCCCTTTCGCAAGAACCCATGGAAGCCTTTCCCTGTCATCGAGGAGACTTCTAATAGTTAACTTTTAAGGGACTACTGGTCGCAAACGGCTGAAGCTGGTGCTAATTGGTACGATGGAAAATACGGCTACAAATTTGGATGGAGTGTTCCTCTGGTGCAATCGCTGGGAGTTGAAGGCGACACTCATGCTTTGGTGAGTCTGAGAGACACTTACAGTAGCGGTCAAAAGTGTTCGCCGAAACGATTTTCAGTGCATTATTTTTTCTCGCTTGAGCAACGCCCTCCAAAGATTGATATACTATGTTTTCTAGTGTTTTTATATCCTCAAGTTTAAAGAATCAGGATATTCAAAAGAAAAATTTTCGAGTCACCATTGATTTTTTCCCGCAAAAAAAAGAGAAGCACGAAAAACCGTTTCGGCGAACACTTTTGACCGCTACTGTATGCCTACGGGGCGATTATTTGTGCTGTGAAATCGGTAGCCCTGCTACATCATTGATTCCAATTCGCTTACCACTGCCAAAATCACAGGTGTCGGTACCGATCAAACAAGGTGAGCTCGGTAAACCAATAGGAGTTGACGTTGGGCTTGGAGTCGGACCGTACTATCAACAAAATCAACATGTCGGAGTGGACTACATGAACGGCCAGGTATAGTCGCCTTTTGAGTTGAGTTGTCGTTTATCATGAACCCAAAAATTCCTATGTTTTGCAAGGTTGGAACCAGCTTTGGTATTGGTGTTCCATTTGCTGGTGTCGGCTACAAGACTGGCACTGGAGTGGTGTTCCCGTCTGTCAACACTTTCCTTCCATAACTTTTTGTGTTTTCCGGCATTCGATTCGGCAGGATCATTTGTGTTATTTTTATGAAATGAGAAAGCATCATCGACTTCTATGAACGTAGAAAATAAAATTCGAATTTAGTTTCACATATACTAATCTCATAACAGCGCTCCTATCTAGTTCAGTAATCGGTCTAATTCCTATACTCCTAAAATCGCTGACACGATCCAGGTGGACTGAATCGCAAAAAGGACGTGCCACTTTCATGGCCCTAAAGTAGCTAGTGAGGGCACTGAGGCTAGAACAAAGACGTGTTGCTAATCGAGTCCATATGGAGTGCGAACAGAGGAACTTCTTTACAGTAGGTTCATTCAAACTTTTTGGAGGAGGGTATTCGATTTTTCGGTAGGGTAGGCTCGCTATCTACACTGTGACCGTTACCCAGCTTATCTCTTCATTTCAGATTTATTTCTTCACCTTCGGCTGTGAGGACTAAGCTAAAGATGGAGCAGGTCCGACAAACATCCAAATCGCTCAAGCACCCGGTCATCCTCGAAGTAAGCAAACCAGCCCTTTTGGCGTTTCTGCTGGGGCCGTATGCTGAATGTTGGGGAGGGGATGGGGTCCCCGACGGTCGACGGACTACTTCAACTCGGTCCTTAAAACCGCCTCAATTTGATGCTTACCTCAGGACTAAGCCTTAAAGAGAGGACGGACCTGCGCTCTCTCGCAGGTCCGTCCTCTCTTTAAGGCTTAGTCCTGAGGTAAGCATCAAATTGAGGCGGTTTTAAGGACCGAGTTGAAGTAGTCCGTCGACCGTCGGGGACCCCATCCCCTCCCCAACATTCAGCATACGGCCCCAGCAGAAACGCCAAAAGGGCTGGTTTGCTTACTTCAAGGATGACCGGGTGCTTG